TTTACAACGTTTCCTCAGAAGCTGTGACTTTATTTTTTATCATATTACTAGTGGCCCTTTGCACGAAGATTCGCGCAATAGGCCTTCCTTCCCCTGGCTGCCGGCACTGGTTTTTCTCTGGCACCCAGGACCCAGGCCTTTGGTCTGGCCACAGCAAGGCTTGGCTTCTCCACTCCGGTTGCTCCCAGCCCCACCTTTTTTTTTTCCAGCTCCTTGAGTGGAGCCCATTCACCCACCCGCTCCTTGAGTGGAGCCCCTCCTTGAGCGGAGCCCAGGAGGGGCTGGGGGTCTGGGTCACCAGGGCTGGAAGCCTGGATCGCCCCGGTGACCCAGTCCCCCAGCCCCTCTTTGAGCGGAGTCCAGGGCCGGTGGGAAGCTTGTCTTCCTCCATCACCGGGAGCAACCCAAGACTCCTGCTTGCTCCAGCTCCATGGCTGCTGCCATCCTCAGTCGTCTTCATTCTTCGCTCTGCGCCTGCGTGTGCAAATTAACTGCCATCTTTGTTGGGTTACTTTGCATAGTTGCTCTGATTGGCTGGTGGGTGTAGCAAAGTGGCGGAGTGACAGAGTGATGGTTAATTTGCATATTATTCTTTTATTAGTGTAGATTGTTCTTAGAGATTAGTGTTCTAGACTCTAACCAAGTTGTTGGTTTCTCTAAACCTCATTCCAGAACTTCGTTAGATGGTCTTCCCAGTATAAATAGCACAAGGCTACTTCAGACTCCCCACCATTCACTCTCCTTTAACTCCAAATGATCTTTGTTTATCTCTTACTGATACCACCAACTGTAGGCACTTCCATAACGGCTACCACCATCCTATTAAGCAATTGTATTGCCTGCAGAGCTGGGCTCACCTCTAAAAATCTGTCAATAAATTGACCTTCAAACCTGCCACATCTAGGTGTGACTATCTAGTCTTTTGACTACAGATATTTATTCAGATTTACTCTGATTAAGAACATTGTCTCTTTTTGCAGGAATTGTTGAAAACCTATGATTATTTGACAGTTTTGAGAGGTCTTAGAAGACTGCAGAAACCCCCACACTATTTTGTACTAAACATACTGAGTTACTATGGAAAATCACATTAAGCAAATAAGAAAAAGTTGCACTTAAATATCCATATACAATAAGGCCAATTGTAATAGTGTTTCCATCCTATCTAATAATAGACAAACATGATAATTGACTGTACATCTGCTATGCCTCCCATGGGCTAATCAGTGTGATATGCAAATTAACTGCCAACAAAGATGGCGGCTAATTTGCATACTGCAGGCAGATCCCGCTGTGCTGTCCTGCCTGGGGCTGGCAGCAGCCTGATCCACAGTCACTGGCTGAGCCAGCGCATGATCCAAGCCCATTGTGTGTGGGGCTGGGCAGATGGGGCGGGCAGCAGCACGATCCTGAGCCACCGCCTGCCCCAGCGAGAGATCCGGGCTTGCCGTGTGTGGGGGGCAGGGCAGGCAGCAGCGAGATCCCCAGCCTGGGCCTGCCATCTGCGACCCGGGGAGATGGGGCAGACACCGTGGGATTGGGCATGCCATCTGCCACCAGGGGAGTGGGCCTAAGCCAGCAGGTGGTTATCTCCCGAGGGGTCCCAGACTGTGAGAGGGCACAGGTTGGGCTGAGGGGACCTCCCTCCCCTGCCAGTGCACAAATTTTTGTGCACTGGGCTTCTAGTAAAATTATATTAGAAGATAGTTTTATTACCTGTGTGATTTTTCACAAGTTACTTAAACCCTTTGTGGCTAAATATCCACAACCATAAAATAGGAATAACAATAGCACTTAAAAGGTAGTTTTGAGTTTTAAATAAGTTAATATATTAAAATATATTCAAAGAGTTTCGCCTGGCTGGTGTTGCTTAGTGGTTGAACATTGTCCTATGCACCAAGAGGTCACTGGTGCGATTCCTGGTCAGGGCACATGCAGGAGGCAGTTGATCAATGTTTCTCTCTCATTGATGTTTCTATCTCTCCCTCCCTCTCCTTCCCCTTCTCTCTGAAAAATCAATAAAGACATTAATATGAATATATATTCATGAGTTTATATATGACATGAATATATATATGTATTCAATGAGTTTAGAACAGCATGTTCACAAAGTAGTTAAAATTATGATTGACATCCCATAAGTAAAAAATGGTGCAAACTCATTGATAATATATCATTAAATCATTAAAAATTTTAAATAAAATTAATATAAAGTACATTGAAAACAGGAAACAAAATTATGATAACCTATTTGATTATTGCTACATATAGCTCTGTAACTATAACAATGTACATATATTTAAAAACTAAAATAACATATATCATATGATCATTTTTATCTCTGTGATATGTAAAATGTAGGAACATTCATTTTTTCTTTAAAGAAGGCATTGCTCTCTTGTAAAAGTCTACTAATAAAATATTAGGACATTTTTGTGGCATCAGTGTGTCTAAGGAAGACTAATATATACTACAAATTATTATTTCCTACATCGTCTCAAATTCCCTTGAATGCTACTATTGAGAAAACAACTAGTCCAGCGGTAATTAAGTTACACTAAACCTTAAAAGCAAAAAGTCTCTGCAATAGGCTAACTGGAACTAATCATGGTCAAGACCATCATGGTTGTCCTGCCTAAACTTCAACATTTTTTGTTGCAAAATGTGAGCTGAGTTAAATCAGTGTTGAGCAGTGTGGTATTTCAGCAGTGTCACTCACAAGGCATACTCAACATCTAACAGCATGATCATCTAACCATCAGGCTGTCAGGTAACACGTGTCTAATAACCCCGAAATGAGGCCCACTGCCTGTGATCTACATCCTCCTGCTGGATATGAGTGCATAAATGATGACACCGGACAGAAGCAAACAGCAGATGTATGTTCAGCCACAAAAAAAGAAACCCTCAAATAAGACAAAGAAACAATGCACTGAAATAAAGCATCATAGAATGTGGCACGGCCAAAAAAATCATGAGAAAAGGAACTGAAAGGACAGTAGCCAAGCAAAACTTGAGCAGAGGAAAAATTGTCAGGTGTTGTAACCAGTTGATGTTATCCAGTTGAAATGTGTTAAAAATAAAAAACTGCTTATAACAGATTATTGTTTAGCCTCTAGTTTAAAATAAAAATAAAATATGTGTATATATGTGATGTATTTTACACAGTAGTGAGTGGATATTAGGAATTAGGAGCATACCAAATGCCCTGTTGAATTCGCTAACATCTAAAACATCCCTCAACAATTGCAGAATTTGAGACAAAGACCAATCACATGTTAACCCAAAAATCAGTGCAGTGGAGCTGTGTTGGAGAGAGTAATTTTTACATTTGGATAAAAAAATCACATCTATTAAATGAATGAATATTTTTTCATGTGGGCCATAAGAATGACTGCATTTGCCAGTGTGCTCAGTGGTTGAGCACAGACCTAAGGGCCAGGAGGTCACAGTTCTATTCTTGGTCAGGGCACATGCCTGGGTTGCAGGCTCAATCCCCATTAGGGGGCATGCAGGAGGCAGCCGACCAATGATTCTCTCTCATCATTGATGTTTCTATCTCTCTTCCTCTCTTCAATCAATAAAAACATATTCTTTTTTTAAAAAAAGAATGACTACCTTTTAAACAAAAATGCCATCTTTTTACAAAACATTGCGTAATTGTCAGTGTACTATGTAATTTTTTTTCCTTCTTTGGTCCATGTATTCTGCAACTTTTGTGTAACTAGGTTGTCATTTCATCAACTATATTCCAAATACATGAAAAATTATTATGATTGTGAAGTGTGAAGTGCATTATCTAACAGATATCTCTTAAGAAACAATTTTCCCCAAATAGATATCTTTGAGATCAAGATGGATGTTATCTTGGAAACAGTTAACGTGAAATAACATCAGACAAATCTAGGTTAACATTCTGATTTTAACAGCTTCTAGTGACAAGATATATAGCAAGTTTCTGATCTTTATAATCCTGAGCTTCATCAACTAATATTGTGGTTAATGATATTTAACACATATATTTGTTGGAGTAAAATATTTATGGAGACTGTCAATTACAATGACTGGCTTAAGGTATAATCAATAACATGACAGTTCTTATATTGCATGTTTGAACTCTTAAACAATATTAAAAAGCAAAAATGGGCTTACCTACAATTACTGCCGGCTAATTACTCCATAGTGAGCCAATATGAGTGAGAAAATTAAAAGCTAAAGCATTTAGTGTTTGCAAAATATAAAGAATGTAACTGCATTGAAAAGTCAGGCATTAAACCGTTAATTTGTTTTTCATTTTTCCAAAGTTCTAACTCGAGAAAAATAAGCCTGAAAGACATAAACACATTCTCAAGAGCTTGCACACTTCCAGGTGATAAATGTTTCTTTTCCATAGAGTTTGGTACATTGTTTTTGGCATTTTTCTTGTCTTGACCAGAAAACCCTGGCTTCTTAATACATGTGACTGCCTGCAGAGCCCCCAAAAAGAAAATTACTGAGACTTAAATAAGTGTTGAGGTGTGAGGGTTGAAAGGACATACATATAAGAGACATGCATTCCGTTAATGTAGCTAATCTTTCTGTTTTCATATCTTTACCTGCCCAGTAATTGTTCCCTAATGTATCTTTTACACTCCTTTATGACTGGCACAGATTGAAGGTACAGAGATTTCAATAACAGCGTTTTTTTGAACAACATGTTCATCTTTAAATCTTAAACTGAGCATAAGAAAAAAATATATAATCTATAAAAGAGGGAAACAAATCTTTAAAAGTTTGGGTAGTGTTAAAAAAACACACACACGCGCACACACGTTCATTTTCTGTTCAGTTTCAGCTTCTTTTAAAGAAGCTTCTATTTCTTTATTTCTTCCGTCTTAGATAAGTGCCTGCAATCTTAAGCCATGGTTCCGGTAATATTTTTGTAAATGGATCACGATTGCATTCATACCATTAGCCTCTGAACAGATGTCAGAAAGTAAAGATTGGCTGCTCCCAGAGCTAGTAGCTGCTGCCAAGTCTCGCGAGCTTTGTCAGTAACAGTTGATTGCAATGTCAGTGCAGTCCAATTCACAGGCTGGAGCAGCAGCTGCACACTGCATTTCCCCGAAGTAATACATGATTTCCACGCCTTGCAAACTTTATCATCTTTTGTTGCAGTGAGTCGGGTAAGTTGCTCTGAATTTACATCTTTGTATAGAGATGCAAGTTTGTGTGAAACTCATTCTGTAGCAGGATCCTGACCCCTTCACGTGTTTGCTGTGCCACTTTGGTGCTCTGTGGGGGGTCAGTCATTGCAAAAACACAGATGAGGCAAATGCACAGGCACCTGCGTCAAATCTTTATACTATTCAGGCAACACAGGCTGAGTCCATTTAACTGCTGAGGAAACAGTGAGTTTATTTAACTTCGTATAAAGAACCGTAGCACTTGTGGATTCATTGTTGTGTAGATTCTTAGTGCACTCCCCAAGCAAAAACGGCTTACACTATTTTACCCTTAAATAAACTGTTTAGTGAATTTCTCCTTAAGATAGTTTTAAAAAGGTGCCCTTAGACTAGTTTTACTCTGTTTTTCTAAGTTGCATGAAAAGAATAGTTCTCTTATTGTCTGGCATGAGAGGGTACTTTTCTTAATCAACACTTTACCATCTGAAACTTTAACAGTATCAATTGGCAAAGGAAAGGTCTAAGTTTCTTATATCTAAAAGGAAAAATCTATTTCCTAATTTGATTTGCAAAATGTGCCCCGTTTTTCTTGTTTGTCCTCTTTCAATATGTGTGTAAATTATAGCAAAATATTTTACATTTACTATGATTTTTATTATATAGAGACTATAAGCAAATATAGACTTCTGCCCATATTCTAATCTTGTAAACTTACCTTGATTTTGATGATGTCAGTACTTTTTACACCAGAAGATTAAACATTAAGTATAAATTGTATGAATGATTAAAAGCAAACTAAATGTGAAAAAAATTTCATTGTTTATGAGTTCTATTTGTATTATTATTTTTCAGATTTTAGAGTATGCCTTTCAAATGCTTATGAATATAATGCATGATAATAAACTCAATTTGGAGCTACTATTACTAGCCTGTGTAATGCCTCCTTTCATAATATAAACTGTAGTTCACCTGTATAAATAGTTACCTTTTAAGGATGAGCATGAACTTTTAGAGAGTGGCTTTATCCTTTAAATAAAAATATTTAGAATCTGTGAATTTGAAGTAACATGGCCTTTTGGGTGCCAAATAAAATTTCTAATCAGATTTACAAAGTTCTGTTTCATTCTCCTAGATTTGTTGTTACTGTTTTGTTTATAATGTCCTGCTTCTTTAATTGTAAGAGAATTATAATTGAATAGATGTCAACCCAAAAACAAATTCACCTTTCAAAGAGACTCAAGCTCTCCCTCTAATATTAAACGTTCAAATTATTCACACAATGAAAAGTTTGTGAACGTTCTTCCCGACTGAGGATACAGATCTTATGTTGCTGACACCTAATAAAGATTCTTCTATCTGCATACATCCTTTTAGTACCTCATGTGTATCTGAAGAATCTCTGAAAGACAGTGGTATAGTCTATTTATAAATAGACTGACTCAGTTCCCACTTCACTTAGCCTGCAACAAAACAAGCTTTCTAGTTTTGGTATAAAGGCTTAGTTGTTTTAAGTTGACCAAATTCACTTTAGCAGTGTATATTTTAGATCATATTATCCAAGTAGCTGTTTTACCACTATTTTAAGGGCTATTATTTTTACAAAGAAATATATATTCTATTATAACTATTTAAAATACTGGAAAATTATACTCAGAAAAAACTATTACCAATATTTTCTTGACCATTCTCTAAGAAGTCCTTTGTTGGCCAATTATTTTGAAAATTTGGTTGATACTCAATTATGGAACATATGTGGGTATATATTGCTCTTTATGGCAATCATTTTCTAGCACCCATATCTTCTACTGTAACATTACAATTTTCTTTTGAAAATTGGTCAAGGAATTCTGATACTACTTTTAAAATTGAAATAAAAATGCAAAATGAAGGACATTTCTTTTTACCTTTTTTATTTTGAAAGTTATATTTTTAAAAGTTTATAATGTTTTCTCAAAATTTCCAGTAGATTTTTATATCCTGGAGCATTTTATAAACTTTGAATACTATGGTATTTATCTTTCAAATTTCCTCCCTTCTCACTACCATCATTCATTTCCTTTTGTAGTTCCAAACATAATTCCTGCCTTTCTTTCAAATGTTATACATTATTACAATAAGTTAACTGATCTAAATTCAGATAATTCGTTGTACTTAGCATGAAAATTCACACCAGTTTTTATGATAAACATGTTAAGTATTCTTAATGTTCAAAGTGTTTATTTAATGTGATAGTAGTCAATTTGTACCAGAATTAACAAGAGAAGAACAATTGTGTCTTATTGAATATTTTAATTATTAATAAGGATTTAGAGATATAGACTAACATTTTCATAGCCACCTTCAATTATTTCTCTTTAGAATGTTTAATCATGTGATGGCATATATTAAAAATATATACATTTCTTAATGGTAAAACTACAGAGCAACAAGTTAAGTTTGAGAATAACAGGTTATGAAAAGGACAAAATAATGTTTATTTAAATAAATACTGCAGCTATATATAGAAATATTTGCTTATACTAACAATGAGTATGTGGACAAATGCATATTATAGTTTTAAAATTTAGATTTAAGAATATTGTATGTAACACTCTCCAATAGGTAACATGAAGGTGAATTAGACTTATATTGACCATGCTAACACATATAACCTCACTAGTTGTACATACTTTAATAAATCAAATTAACAGATATTGAATAATCTCTGAGTATAAAAGTTTTTCTAAATCAGCATCTTCTCCCATGTGCTATATTATTAGCAACTGTTTCTCTCCATTGACATTATAATTCAGGTAGAGAAGACCTCTTGATTATTTAATATCAGAGAAATTAACTGGTATCCTATATAATAAAAGCCTAATATGCTAAGTATCTGGTCGTCTGGTCATCCGTTCAACCAATCAAAGCATTTTGTAATATGCTAATAATATGCTAAGGCCACTCGCTATGATGTGCACTGACCACCAGGAGGCAGATAGTCAATCAGTCGCTATGATGTGCACTGACCACCAGGGGGCAGATGCTCCAACTGGTAGGTTAGCTTGCTACTGGGGTTCGGCCGATCGGACTGATCAAGACAGGCCAGACATGTCCTGGAGACCTCCCACGGCCCCTCCCCAACTGGCCAACCTCCAGTGTCCCTCCCCAACCCTGATCGTGCACCGGTGGGGTCCTTCAGCCTGGCCTCTGCCCTCTCACAATCCGGGACTCCTCGGGGGATGTCAGAGAGCCGGTTTCATCCCAATCCTGCAGGCCAGGCTGAGGGACCCTACTGGTGCATGAATTTGTGCACCAGGCCTCTAGTATATACACAGAACTCTACTTCCAATTTTTCTTGTATAGGTCTTATAAGGATAACAGATTTGTTATTTTTCATACTATATAGGATAAAAGGCAACTATTTTAGGTTATTTAAGAGGCAATGAATAGATTGTCCAAAATCTCTTCTGAGCATAGACTGAGATTGAATGGAGGAAGAACCCACTAAGCAAAAAGGACCACAGAAGGGATCCTGGAAACTGAAAAAGACAATGAAAGACTAAGGTTCCTTAAAGCTTCTTAACCTACTTCACATTTCTGTCAAGAACCAGCCAGCATGTACATATTTCAGAGAATACATGGGCTTGCATTTTCTCCTCTAACCAAGTAGAAATTTTATCTGTAATAAATAGACTACCGCTAAATGCCACTTATGGTGGGGCTGTGTACGGTAAGAAGTATATATACATGCTTGAAAGAAATATCCCCTATAAAATACTCAATCTTCCTTGCAAAAGTTTTATAGTGAATTTTTTCAAAATGAAATAGTGTCTACTTTTCATTCCACTATTTGTTTTTGAAATTGAAAACTAAAATATTTCCAACTGTTTCCTATCTGTTTTTTTTTTTAACATAAACCTTTGTAGTGGTCCAAGATTTATTAGTTTTCATCATTTGTATGATTAATTAGAAGCACTACACTTTAGTTTGTTATTATCAATTAAACATAATGCCAGATGCATAAGGCCGTTAAAACTTCCTACTTACCTCTCTTTCAGAAACCAATATGCAGAGCAAGGGTACAATCGTATGCACCCAACTTCTTTTTCTGTTTCTTCTGCTCTGGATGCTCATTGGGAAATCACACACTGAAGAAGACATCGTCATCACAACCAAGAATGGTAAAGTCAGAGGGATGAACTTGCCCGTTCTCGGGGGCACAGTAACAGCCTTTCTTGGAATTCCCTATGCACAGCCACCTCTTGGCAGACTTCGGTTCAAGAAGCCACAATCCTTGGCCAAGTGGCCCAATATTTGGAATGCCACAAAATATGCAAATTCTTGCTATCAGAACACAGATCAAAGTTTTCCAGGCTTCCTGGGATCCGAGATGTGGAATCCAAATACTGACCTCAGCGAAGACTGTTTATATCTGAATGTGTGGATTCCAGCACCTAAACCAAAAAACGCTACTGTAATGGTATGGATTTACGGGGGTGGTTTTCAAACTGGAACATCATCTTTACCTGTTTATGATGGCAAATTCCTGGCACGAGTTGAGAGAGTTATTGTAGTTTCAATGAACTATAGGGTGGGTGCCCTAGGGTTTTTAGCTTTACCAGGAAATTCAGAGGCACCAGGGAACATGGGCTTGTTTGACCAACAGTTGGCACTTCAGTGGGTCCAAAAAAATATAGCAGCCTTTGGTGGAAATCCTAAAAGTGTAACTCTCTTCGGAGAAAGTGCAGGGGCAGCTTCAGTTAGTCTTCACCTACTTTCTACTAGAAGCCACCCGTTGTTTACCAGAGCAATTCTGCAAAGTGGGTCTGCTAATGCCCCTTGGGCAGTAACATCTCTTGATGAAGCTAAGAACAGAACATTGACCTTAGCTAAATTTATTGGTTGCTTTAGAGAAAATGAGACGGAGATCATCAAATGCCTTCGAAATAAAGACCCCCAGGAGATTCTTCTGAATGAAGTATTTGTTGTCCCCTATGAAACTCTCTTGTCAGTAAATTTTGGCCCAATTGTGGATGGCGATTTTCTCACTGACATGCCAGACACACTACTCCAACTTGGACAGTTCAAAAAAACCCAGATCTTGGTGGGTGTTAATAAAGATGAAGGGACAGCGTTTTTAGTATATGGTGCCCCTGGTTTCAGCAAAGATAACAACAGTATCATTACTAGAAAAGAATTTCAAGAAAGTTTAAAAATGTTTTTTCGAGGAGTGAGTGAATTTGGAAGGGAATCCATCCTTTTCCATTACATGGACTGGTTAGATGATCAAAGAGCTGAAAACTACCGTGAGGCCTTGGATGATGTTGTGGGGGATTACAATTTCATATGCCCTGCCTTGGAGTTCACCAAGAAGTTCTCAGATTTGGGAAATAATGCCTTTTTCTACTATTTTGAACACCGATCCTCCAAACTTCCTTGGCCTGAATGGATGGGAGTGATGCATGGTTATGAAATTGAATTTGTCTTTGGTTTACCTCTGGAAAGAAGAGTAAATTACACAAGAGCTGAAGAAGTTCTGAGTAGATCCATAATGAAACACTGGGCAAATTTTGCAAAATATGGGTAAGTGGCCTTTGTTGTAATTGTTCTTATTTTGTTCTGTTTGTTTTGTTTTGCTGAGCTTTGCTTGGTGCTGGTGTAGACTTCGTTAAAAGCACAGAAACATGTTAAATATTTATTCTTTTTGTACTTTAGCTGATTTTGTGTTTTACTATGTAGTGAATTTCAGTTCCTTGCATCAGCATGCCTGAAAGAGATCATCAGAGAACTTTTATGAAAAGTATTTTCTGATAACGTTTCCAAAATACCACATAGCACTTTAGCAATCTAAGACAGAGTTTGTATGGAAATAGACGTGTAGCTTGAGAAATAAGATTACTGTGAGCATGCCTTTTAACCTGGAAGTTCTTAATGTTCATTGGTTTAGAGAAGGGTAGAAATGTATCTTTTCACTCTCTTAAACATGGGAACAGTGGTACCCGATAACATAAAGAAACGCACACCTCTCAGGGAAACCAAAGGCAAGATGGTGATGGGGTTGACCTTAGAGTACAGTTTTCCATTTTATGGCATTTTTTTCCCCTAATAAGTTTGCTCTGAAATTTTAGGTGACATGTGCTGGACAGAAGCTACAAAGCTCCTTATGTTTATCTAAGCTGTTTTCCACTAGAGTAGTCGTATGGCTGATTAAAATCACCAGAAAACTTACCAAAGAACATATTTTCCCTCATACGTTACAAATAGTGTAATATGTCTGCAAGAGTCAGGAAAAAATAATCGGTTTGTATATATATATATATATTTTAATATATTTTCTAAATATAAAAAGTATGTGTACAGAAAATAGGCTTTTTTCATAACTGCATTTGTAGGGCAAAAATGAATTTTATACAGTGGAATACCTTATGTGAATTAGAATGAGAAAAAGTAGACATTTGGAAATCTATTTTAAAAGCAGTGCTTATAGAAACTCACCAATTAATGGATGCATTGAGTCAATCTGTGATACTGTCTCGTATTAAAAGGAATGTTGATAAAAATATCATTCTGGTTTTCTTTTCCAATTCCCATTTGAAATTTATTTTACCGTATTTGCCGGCGTATAAGACGATTTTTTGGCCCTGAAAAATATGCCTCCAAGTGGGGGGTCATCTTATACGCCAGGTACACTTCAGATAGACTGCCCATAGTGCTTGCCCTGTGCCATAGTGGCCTCCCGATGCCCGCCCACTTCATTCCACATACCGTTCAGGCATCAGCAGCGCTGCTGGGTGTATGCTCGGCTGTTATGCGATTTTACCACACTCGCAAAATCGCACACAGCCGACCATACACCCAGTATGATAGCGCAAAATCGCGAATCGC